CGATACCAGCCTGGCTGGGTTAGTATGAATTTAAGGGTAGGATGGACATTGGGTCATAATCATATGTGCTTTACATAAGTCCCTGGGGAATGGATAAGTCTGGAGGGGGGGAGGGTGGTAGAACCTATTTTCTTTTAGAAAGGAGTATCTACGCGGTGTAACCTATGTAATGCAATTAATCTTCGACCGTCTTGAAACTGTCCTCTTTACTGCTCATGCAAACATCCCACCCTCCCACCCGCAACTTGGTCGCAAAACCTCTTAAGATAAGACCGGGACGGTAGGTACCACATGGCACTTGGCCACGACACCGGCGCCGACGACGACAGCGACAACGACGACGACGGCGCCGCCGACACCGACTGCGACGACACCGCCGACGTCGACGTCGACGACGACGACGACGACGCCGACGTCGACGACGACGACGCCAACGAAGACGAGGGAGGAGGGAGGACGACGGCGGCGACAACGACGACAACGACGATGGAGGAGGGAAGACGGCGACGACGCGAACGACGAAGAAGGAGGAAGGACGGCGACGCCAACGACGACAACGACGAGCGAGGAGGGAAGACGACGACGACGACGAAGACGACGACGACGGCGACGAAATAGGAGGGACGACGACGAGACGCCGACGACGGACGACGACGACGACGAGGGAGGAGGACAACGACGAGGGAGGAGTGAAGACTACGACGACGACGACGACGACGACGACGACGACGACGGCGACGAAATAGGAGGGACAACGACGAAACGCCGACGAAGACGACGACGGAGGAAGAACGACCACGGCGACAACGACGACGGAAGCGACGACAAGTCCAAGACGACGACGACGGCGACGACGAGGAAAGACAGAAGACGACGACGGCGACGACGACGACGACGACGACGAGGGAGGAGGGAGGACGACGACGACGACGACGCAAAAGCGCGCGCGGACGCTTTTGTTGAAAATCCGTGTTGCGAAACCTTGTGTTTTTGTATGTTTTTTGGACACACGATTTTGAAATCCTTCCGAAGCCGACGGTTTTTGAAGGATTTCGGCATACGCGCGCGACGACTCGCGCGTCTGCACTTCGTCCCACTTTTTGCAGAGGATTCTCGCGACGGCACACGCGCAAGGGCGTTCGACAGATTTCGACATGCGCGCGCGACGCCCATTTGGTAGCATTTTTTGAAAATCTTGAAAAAACCCATGGTTTTCTTAAGATTTGTAAGAGCTCGCGTGGAAGCTTTGTTAGCAAATCAGTGTTGCGGAACCCTGTGTTTTTGTATGTTCTTTGGAAACGCGATTGCGAAATCCTTCAGGCACCGATGGTTTTTGCAGGATTTCGGCATGCGCGCGCGACGACGCGCGCGTGTGCACTTCGGCAATTTTTTGCAATGGATTCGTGAAAAAGTGTTATGTTAGAGCAAAAAATGTCACCGCATAGTGCCTTTTACAAGGGAACCCCAGGGGGGGGATACCGCCCGGCCTGGGATAGTGCAAATTAATATTTAGGATGGACATGTGGCCATAATCATATATGATTTACATACCCGAAAGGGGGATTGATAACGCCGGGGGGTGGTAGATCCTATTCTGTTTTTAGAAAAGAGAATTAATTTCTGTTCGCAATGAGTTGTCCACACCACTGCTCGCGCAAACATCCCACCCACCCACCCGCAACTTGGTTTGCAAAATGTCTTAAGACCGTGACGGTGGGTACCAAATTGCACTTGGCAACGACAGCGACGCCGACGACGACAGCGACAACGACGACGACGACGACGACGACGACGACGACACCGACGACGACGACGACGCCGACGCCGACGCCGACGACGATGACATCGACGACGACGATGACGACGCCGACGCCGACGACAACGACGACACCCACGACGACGACGACGACGTCAACGACGCCGACGACGACAACGACGACGGCGGCGACGACGACGACGCCGACGTCGACGACGACGAAGACGACGACGACGCCGACGCCGACGACGACGACGAAGACGACGACGACGTCGCAAACGAAGACGACGACGAGGGAGGAGGGAGGACGACGACGGCGACAACGACGACAACGACGACAACGACGAGGTAGGAGGGAGGACGGCGACGACGCGAACGACAAGGACGGAGGAAGGACGGCGACGCCGACGACGACAACGACGAGGGAGGAGGGAAGACGACGACGACAACGACGACGAAGACGACGGCGACGAAATAAGAGGGACGACGACGAGACGCATACGACGGACGACGACGACGACGAGGGAGGAGGAGGAAGGACGATCACGGCGACAACGACGACGGAAACGACCACGACACCAAAGAGGACGACGACGACGAACACGAGGAAAGACAGAGGACGACGTAGGCGACGACGACGACGACGACGCGGGAGGAGGGAGGACGGCGACGACGGCGACGACGACGACGCAAGAGCGCGCGCGCACGCTTTTGTTGAAAATCCGTGTTGCGAAACCTTGTGTTGTTCTAGGTTTTTTGGACACACGATTTTGAAGTCCTTCCGAAACCGATGGGTTTTGAAGGATTTCGGCATACGCGCGCGACGACGCGCGCGTCTGCACTTCGTTTCATTTTTTGCACAGGATTCTCGCGACGGCACAAGCGCAAGGGCGTTCGACTGATTTCGACATGCGCGCGCGAAGCCCATTTGGTAGCATGTTGTGAAAATCTTGAGAAACCCATGCGTTTCTTAAGATTTCGCAAGAGCTCGGGCGTAAGCTGTTTTAGCAAATCAGTGTTGCGAAACTCTGCGTGTTTGTATGTTGTTTTGGAAACTCGATTGCGAAATCCTTCCGACACCGATGGTTTTTGAAGGACTCCGGCATGCGCGCGCGACGACGCGCGCGTGTGCACTTCGTCCCATGTGTTTCAAAGGGATCAGTGAAACAAAAGCCTTATGCTAGAACAAAAAATGTCCCCGCATTTTTTTACTCAAGGAACCTCGGGGGGAGCGATACCGCCCCCCGTGGGATAGTGTAAATTCATATTTCGGATGGAAATGTGGTCAGAATCGCATATGATTTACATACCCGACCGGGGGGGGGGTAACGCCAGGGGGGAGGTAGATTCTATTCTCTTTTAGAAAGGAGAATCTATGCGGTGCAATCTCTGTGGCGCAATTGATTTCTACAAGCGAGTTGACACATTCCACGCTCTTCAAAACATCCCACCCACCCACCCGCAACTCAGTTTGGAAAACCCACGCGGGAACGATTGCGATGAATGCTGGGCGCTGGCTGGTGCATCTCTGGGGCCGCGCCAGCCCGCGCATGTACGCGCGCGCAGCGGCCAACGTTTGGCGCGACCGACGCGGCCGCGGCGCCGCTGACCTGTGGGCACGCCCCAGCAGGCACTTCAATGCGAATCGGCGACTTGGGCGGGCGTGGTATCATGGCAACGTCGACAGCGGCAGACACGATGATGCTAATGGCGGTGCTGGTGACGATGCTGACAGCGACGACGGGGCAGCCAGTGACGGTGCCGATTCTAATCACGCCGACGACGATGACGGCGTCCTCGCGTCGGTGATGGAGGTTCTGGGAGGAGTGCGACGTGCGCGCGGGGCGAACGCGCGAGTGGCTCGCATGGTATTACTTGACGCGGATCGCGCCCCCCCTCCC